TCTTTTTTTTTGTAAACGTTCTGTAACCATTTCACATTTTTTCCTGTTTCACCAAAAAAACTACCACCATCGAACCAGAAAAAAACATTGTCCGGTTACACGGGTCCCAAGAAACCCATAGTTTTGACTGTAAAACTCTTGTTTTGAATGCAGCGAGCCCAAAAATAAATTTCGTTGAGTGAAATATGATGACCTGGGAAGATATGTTTGTCTGTGTTTATGGATTATAAAATGACCATTAACTATGAATGGGAAAGAAATTTTTTTTTCACTAGTTTAGCAGGAATCATCCAATTGAAACATACACATACAAACACAAGAATGGAACGTGTAATAATTACTTTAATTTCTTATCAGGACAGATAGTCGAATCATCAATAATAATTATGATGGTGATAATGATGAGATAAGGACAACAACCATTATAATTCTGAACAATAATCATTGTGATATCTCTGATGATCAATAATTGTGACATATGAATATCAATACGAATTCAATAGATAAACAGAATTTTATTTGAATTTTGAAAAAAAATTCAATTAATTCAAAAAAATTTTTTGCCATATACTGTAAATAATTTCTATGTTGAAAATGATTCAGGTGTTAATTAGATTGACACTAATCTATAATAATCCATTGTGGTCACTATCTTAATTTCATTTCGATTGTTATCTAGGTTATCTTTTATATTATTTCATATTTGAATGTAAAAAATAATGCTATCTTTTTTTGAAAGCAATGATAACGATGATGGCGATGAAAGTCACTATGATTATATGCGACTCAAATGATTCTGAATGAATGAACTTGTATGTATGGTAGAGAATCCATAATCATTGTGATGGTGGTTTATTCCATTCGCGGCAAATTTTGTTTTTTTTCGTTTGACAATTAATTCATGTCCGTCATGTTGTCATTGATATCCATGTTTAGTCATTCTATCCATAACTCACTATTTCTTTTCTCATTTTCCCTGGAACAAGGTGAATATAATTAAAGTGATTAAAACACAACCACACACACACACACACACACACAACACAATTCAGTGTGTATACATACGAAACACATACATACATAGCCACCATCACTAAAACAATTCATTCATCCATACATATTCCCCTCTCCCATTCTCTCCTGATTCATCATGAATTGTTGTTGAATTTGTTAAAGCTAAATTAATGAACATGCCCAAATATCATGGATGAAAATTACTCTTGAATATCCCGAATAATAATAATCATCATCATCATCATCATCATCGTATCTCCATTAGTCATAGTATCAAGCATTAATTATTATCACTTTGTCTTTTGCACTCAAAATTCTTTCATTCTTTCTTTCCTTTTTCTAATTCATTCATTCAATGTGTTGTCATAAAAGAAAGTAAGGCAAGAAAAAAGCGATGACAATGAACTACGGGAAAAAAACTGGATGAATTTTCAATTCGCTGAATGATGATAGACTTTTCTTTTTTTTCGAATGCGTGCGTGTTGAATAAACATGTGTTTGATTTAAATTGGAAAAGAAATTTTGCAACATGAGTTCTGATACATCGATTTTGTTATATACGAATATTATTTAATATGATTTAATGATGAGCAATTCTTAAATCTACATATCATGGCTTTGGTATAAATAATTCACACATTTCATCATTCAAAAAAAACTACAATATGTTATTTATATTTGAACAATTGGAATATATGTTGGACATACGATGATAGACAAAATGAAACAAACAAACAAACATTGTCCACACAGTGATCATTCAGTCTAGTCACACAAATTCAGATTTATACGGTATATATACTGGTGGAAGGAGTCCTAGGTGTTAACCAGATTACATAACCGAGAAAAATCCACCATGCCTAAACCATTTTGTTGGTTGATTTTTCCGGATCCATTGTTTGTTTGTTTTTTTTTTGAAACAAACATTTTTTCATCCATTTTTGTTCATTGAAAAAATCTCTTTTTACAGCATTATTATCATTATTATATTATTAATATATGATCATTATGTTTCAATCATTTAGCCTTAATGGATTCGGTTTTGGATTTGACTTTTAATTTTTTTCTATTGTATAAATATATAAGGTGGTGTGTGGTTCAAATCTGGTTGAATTTAGAGATTTTTTTTGTTGTTGTTTATTTGTATAAAAAAATGTTGACTTAATGTAACTAAATTATGTCCCATCATCAAGAATATTGTCGAGCCTTTTTTCCTCGTTTTAAATGTTCTATTGTAAATTATTCAAGCTATTTGGTTGTAGAATATGATTATGACAATCTTAATGTTTGTTAGAACCATTAGAATCATTGTAATTGTTCGAATGAAAATTTTATTCGCATTCCTGGTATTGTTTTTTTTTGGCCAGTCTTAATTAAATTCCAACTGTTTCAAGATGTGTATGATGTACAAATATTTAGAACATGGACAATAAAAACAAAACATAAAATAAAAAAGAATCCCATTAACAGAAATGAAATGAACGCTAAAAAAAAATTTCAAATTTCCCCAGTGAATTCTGAAAACATTTTTACACCCAACGAAAAACGAATCAATTTATTCAATTCTAAACGTTGTTTTTATTTTTATTTTTATTTTTTTAAATAAAATAAGAAAAAAAATCATTGATATCAATTATAAAAAATATGAACAAAAAAAAATAATTCAACTATGGCCCGTTGACAGTTTAAATCTATCTATTTAAATAGATAATGAGTAAAAGGTCAATGTTATGAATTATTCATATTGCTACTGTTACACTTTTGATGGTTGTTGTTGTTGATGTTTTTGTTTCATGGATGGGATTCTAATTTTTATCTGAATAAATTAGAAAAAAAACAAAACTAGATATAAAATGAACAACAAAATGACCATAATCATGATCCATCAACGGATTACGTCCATGTTATTAATACAAATGAACAGAAAAAAAACGAGAGAACAAGAAGTTTCAACCATAACGAAATAGTGAAAACTTTGATCAGAAAACTTTTTTACGGAATACAATTTTCTCTTGAATATTCTGATGTTCTCATCCATTGTTTAATATTTATTTGAATTTTCTTTTCGCATGCTCATCATCCATTTAAAATACTTCTGTGTAAGACAATCTGCTTATGTTTAGTTTGATATTTTTTTTTCAAAACCAATATGGATAAATATATTGTGTATATTTATTCAATTTCAATTTTGATTGTAAGAAAAAAAACAAGGTTCAATTCGAATTGATGTTTATAATCCTTATACATCTTTGGATATTATGTATTGGCGAATAAAATTCAAATCAGTCCTTATGTCTATTCGGATGCATTTAGAAAAAAAAACATTTGCAGACAAAGATAAGGATTTTTTTCCTGATCAGATAGGCTATTTATATTTTTAAAAAGTATCCATTCAGAACGAAATCCCGGTCATCATCATTTAAATTGAAGTTCATTTTTTTTACGTTTTTGGACACTGATGGATGTATTTGTTTTATTCATTCGAAAAAAATGGCATACGAAATTTGTCATTGAATTGAAGAAAGAGATGCTGGATAGACAATTTCTCCGGATGTAAATAGCCAACCTATTTGGATCAAATTTTGTTCGAAAAGAATTATCGAATTGAATTGATATTTGTCCATCATTATTTTGGTAAGTTTTTTTTGTTGTTGTTGTTGTTGTTGCAATTTTTATCATATAAATGGATCCTATTTATTAGTATAGAACAATAAAAACTAATTTAGGTAATAAAAAAAATTGTTACATGTTAAAATGTTTTCATCCTAATTCATTTCGAACATTATATACGAAATATTTATGGATTCCAAAGACGTTATTTTCTATCAAATCCAATGTTTTGAATTGGAATTAATTTGTCGTGAACATGAGATCAGACCATTTTTTTTTTCATTTCGCTATTTATTGTTGATAAGTCAAGCGTAGTATTTTATTTCAATGAAAATTGTCTGTACGCAAAAATTGATGAACGAAACAAATTTGATTGTCTTTTTACTATCTAAAATCATTAGTACATTGAAACAGACAAAAAAAATATAAATTCCAAATGAAAAGTCTTTAATGTGTTTCAGTGTTTAATTTCATTTAAATTTCCGTCAATTATATTTGTTGACAATAATAATTACGATCATTTTATTATACCGTTAATCTTGACCAAAAACAACAACAACAACAACAGAAACTGTTTATCCAAGATAAATTCAGATAAAATTTTCTCATTGTATACAAAATCTAATGAATGAAACCAAAACAAATAATAATCGTATTCATTTTTTTTCCGTTCATCTAATTTTAATCAACGATAAACGGTAAAATTCAACAGGTTGATACCTTAAGACAAAATTTTGATATATATTATAATTATATTTCATTTATATGGTGCTCATATCAGCCCTCGAAGGGTTTTTATCTCTTTTGAATTACTTCCTATCAAACTACAGGTTTTCTTCACGAGTAAATCGATGATATGTCGATCTAGCAACAAGATTTTATGGAATGCAGAGTATTAATGATAGTTTTGTGTTTGTGAGTACATAAACATCCTCATCATCATTTACCTTTAAAGATGTAATAGCCAGTCTAAAAGTTACTTTTCAAACTTGATTGATACTTATTGATCATCAAACTTTTTTTTGGATATTGATAGCCATTGTTTATTTTGTATCTCTTGTTTTAAATAGAAACACCCAAAAAGTAAATCTTGTTCACGAAAAAAATTCAACAAACCGAAACGAAAAATGTTTCGTTCTCTCACCTTTTTTTTGGAAATGTATCGGAAATAAGCTACCTGTTCATTCATAACATTGAGTTCAACCAATTTGACTTCAATCTGATAATATTCATCATTAGACACTTTTTCTGACATATATTTACAACTACCCGATGATTTTCTTTGTAAAATATTGACAATTTTTCTGCTTTTGAACAATGTCAAATGAGTGAGCCATAGATTATGATTATATGAACAGAAAACAGTTAATTGAATGAACAAAAATTTCTACATATGAATAGAATTCATTTCATTTAATTGTAATATGAAAACATTTAAATCGAATATTCTATTCAAAGCATCTTTCGACCGAATCAAACACAAACATTTTCTTCATCTCTTCATTCTTCAACTCCCTTCTTCATCATTCTGGATATTTGTTAAGATTCTATACGGCTGACTAAATATAGATTTGCTTTGTTGATATACTTTCTCAACTACATAGAATGATGAGTCGCATTTTTGTCCCTTTACTATGTGATGTATTGTGAAATAAATGTCGAGCATCATTTTACACAAACCAGATGTAATCATAGTCAGAGAAATAGAATTCTGTATAAACAATCTTCAATTGAAAATCGAGTGAATCAATCATCAATGACGACAACAAATACAGAAGAATTAAGCTTGTTCAACAATTTAATCGAAATGGCTGCTGTTGAAGCAAAACAAAAACTGAACACTACAATGAAATCATGAATTGTGGACATAATGATGATTATGATGAAGGATATTCATCGAAATATAATTTAGATTTGGTCGATTTCATGTCAAATGATGGTACGTCATCATTAAATCATCCATCAAATCAACAAATGATAGACAAAGACAATTTATCATCATCGCATCGATCCATAAACAATTCATCGCAAATTAATTCATATAATCCACAATATTCAATGTTAAGTTTATCAAAAAGTCAGATTAGACCAGAATTATATCAATTGGCATTCGATGTTCAAATGGATCATGATGACCATGATGAGGATGATGATGATCAACAAGCGAGCAGTAGTGATTGGTCAACAGTCATCATTGATGGTAAGTGAAAATTGTCATACAAACATTGCTATCTCATCGAATTGTAAACGAACTTTTTTTTATAGAATCGCCGATTACAAGTTATCCTCAACCGATAAAATCATCGAAATTAAGGAATACGGAACCAAGAACCTTAGTAGTGACACATGATCCGAAAATTGGCCAAAATCGTACAGGAATATGGATGACAAAAGCAACTCAATTCTATCCGACCGCTTCATCATTCATACGTGGTACAAATATGGTTACATCACAACCAGTTTGTTGCTGTTGTATTATGTGAATTTTTGATAATTCATCTGTGATTATTGACATCTATATCTTTAAAATTGACCACTTGTAAAATTTCCTTTGAGAAATAAAGTTTTTAAATTAAATGAAATGAATGAAATGATGATGATGATAAATCTGTTGACAATGCTCTAAAAATCTAGATATCACTGTATTGCCATCTGTCGTTGGTGATTTTAAACTCCAATGAATAAGAATGAAAAGGGAATAACAATGAATCGTCGAACATGAGTTTAAAGTTCTGTAATAAAACTTACAATCAAACAATGGTTTATTACAATGGTCAATATCGATCAAATTCCAATCGTATAAATACAAAGCTAAATTGATATCTATGCACTTATAAGTAATACAAACAGTGTCTTTATATGGTTGTGATTTTTCGGACCCAACTAGCAATGATTCCGTATAATTAGCTATACAAAGATCGATCCATTGTTCAGAATTTAAACTTTAGATATTCAAAAAAATGAATTTATTTAACAAAAATCGAAAAACAAAAATTTACAAAAATAACAATTTGATAGTAACATAATGATCAATAATAACGCCTAATTTCCAACGGAATTTTTTCGAGATCAAAATTTGCAGATTGTTTTCGAAGTTTTAATAATACTAATCGGTCATAATATAAACGACCATGATGATTATGATTTGTAATGGCCATCGTCTTGTCCAATTTATTCGAATATGATTGAACATCAATTAATAATTGAAGGATTTGTAATTTTTTCTCTATTGTTTGAGCAATTAAATTTTTCAAATTCAAAAAATAATTCGATGATGATTGATCATCCGTTTTGATTGAATTAATTGTTCGCAAAATATGGACAATTTCATCCGTTTTCGAACCAATTTCGTGTTGAATTTGTTTAATTCTATCCATATTAATTTCAATATTCTTACGCAATATATCTGTATCCATTTTTATAATTCGAATGTTTCATTGAAACTCAAAGACCGAAAAGAGGGAATAGATTAGTAATCGAAATAGAAAAAAAAGATTCACATTTATGATCAATTTGATTTGATGAAATGAATATAAAATATCAATCAATCAAGGCTAAAAAACAAAATCAAGATGAAAAAATTGTGCATTTTATTTATGAACAGGATATCTGGACAAACAAAAAGGGGAAGAATATTGAACGAAAGAGAGCTATAAAATTTGACTGTAAACAACGAGTGTGGTGTGTGTGTGTGTGTGTGGTTGGTTTGTTCATTTGAACGAGCAAAAAAAAAGAGAGAGCATGCGTGTATGTGTGTGGCAAAATTTGGCAAAGAATAAGCGAATATAGTGTGTATGTGAAGCAAAGGCAAGTGTGTGCATTGATGTTAAAAATGCTGACAATTGATCTGAACTCTAAAATATTTTGCTACTCAATAATAAAAAAAAATAATAACAAAATCATCATCGATCAATTTCATATTATTGGTTCGTTTTTTCTTTGTGTTTGTTGATAATTCTAATGTTACATCTAATTCTGTTTGGTCGAATTGAATAGTGAAACCAGAATTAAGAATTGTAACCATAAGCTGTACCGAAACACAATAATCGTCATCATCATCAAATGTATTGATTCAATAAAACCAAGACGATTAGTATTATTCACAAATAATCCACTAATAATAAGACGAAACAGAATGGGTGACAATCATTATAATAAATATAGCAATGAATTTCAACCACCATCACATTATCAAGTGAAAGCCAATGTTGCATCGAACAATGGTTCAAATCAACAATTTAGCTATGATGTTAATGCAGCCAGTCATTATCATCATTCAATGGTTGGAGCAATCGGAACGCCCGGTTTCGAATCAAATACACATCTAAGTTCCTTGTCAAATTGTGTGAAACGTTTACAAACACAATTGAATCAATATTTGACAAAAATAATTGATGAAGGATCGGATGGACCTACTAATTATAATCTTGGTTCAGGTGAAGTACTAAACAGCCATCTTATGGAACAGTATTCAACATCTGGAGGGGGAGGAGGAACAGTAACGACGACAACATCAGGAACAACATCGCCTATTACCGGTGTAGCTACGGCACCATCAATGCCAATAAATCCATCCGGTCATAGTTCATATGGTCATCAGACGATTTCGGCCATAGCCGCAGATCCAGCTGCAGTCAATAATGGCTATAGCTATTATAGTAACTATCCGACAAATTATCCGGCCTATCCAACCGGACCAAATCCTTACCATCCTCATACACATCATCATCCAGCAATGACATCGGCTGTAGATTATTATAATCAACAATCACATCATCTTTTACAACAACAACAGCCACTTCCACCACCACCACCATCATCATATGCAAATTTTCAAGAACCAAAGAGCAAAAAACAAAAAAATAAATGAAAATATGAATTCGACATGAAATTCACATCCGATGGTAGGATTCTTCATCATATTTTTTGTTTGCTTTATGAATTATGTATGTTCGTAATTAAAATGCTGATCGCTGTCCGAATGGCCAATAACGAATCTTTGAACAATTTTTTCCCTTAATTTTTTTTTTACTGTATATTATGAACGCTTAAGAAAGCCATAATTGTCGGCCACTCATTTTTGGACTGAATCGATTCGTGCTCGACTACTTTGTATTACTACAAAAAAAAAAACCAGCTATAATTGATTATTGATTACAATATTATCAACTCTGATTTATTTAATTTTTCTGCTTCGATCTTAATATTTTTTTTCTTTCGTTTTTGTATCATTATTATTTTTTTGTCCCAACATGATTATAATGATGATGATGACAATCATCATTAATTCAATAATATTTTTCATTTTATATGTTGAACCACATGCACACACACACACATCACAAACATTGAAGAACTGGGAAAAAACTTTATAAAATTAATCAAATTATATCTCATCATAATTCTGGAAGCAACCACGATAAAAAAAACCAGTAATACTGTCTTCAAAAAGCAAACAAAATTTTTGAAAAAAGAAAACCAACAACAACAATATATGCCAATCATAGCCTATATATTATTATTATTATATATATAAATTATAAATTTCGACTGTCAAATTAATACGAACTTGAATAAAAAAAAAATTTAATCAAAACTCAACCTATTTATGGCTATAGATTTTTCTCTATACTTATCATTTCGAAATGATAATCGACTTGGTGATGATTGCCCTCTATCGATAAAACGATTGGTGGTTGGATGTCGTTATTTTTTTGTATTATATTTTTTTAGACATAAACTTGACACAATCATGAATGACCAAAAACATAACCAACCAAATGATGGTGACGATATACAAAAACGTTTGGATCGAATTAAAATGAATGTGAAAAGTTTTCCAGATTTTCCTAAATCCGGTATCATATTTCGGTAAGTGAATAAGAATCAATAAAATTAAAAATTATTTAATCACCATTCATCGAACATTTATAGAGATATATTCCCGTTGTTTCATGATCCTAGCCTAATTGATGACGTTTTATACATACTGAAACATCATATTAAAAACAATATAAAAAATTACGACACTATTATTGGCCTTGAATCTCGTGGATTTCTAATTGGTCCATTATTAGCTTATGAACTTAGAGTACCTTTTGTACCCATACGAAAAGCTGGAAAACTACCAGGTAAAGTGGAATCAATAGCCTATGAATTGGAATATGGTTCAGACAAATTCGAAATACAAATTGATTCGGTGAAACCAAATTCCAATTGTATTATTGTCGATGATTTACTTGCAACCGGTGGTTCGGCACGTTCGGCCGTCGAATTAATTAGAAAATGTGGCTCAAACATTGTAAATGTTATCGTTTTAATCGAATTAATTGATCTTAAAGGTCGGCTACAGTATCCAGAGCCAACATTTTCATTAGTAAAATTTTAAATATCGATTAAATAAATTGAAAAAAATTTAATTAAATAGAATAAAGTTTTTCCAAAGAATTTTAGGTCGTCATTTCATTTATGAATGAGAGGATTTAAAATTCTTTTTTTTGTGTGTGTTTGATTCTAGCGACATTGTACGGTGATGAGCAGAAATAAAATCGCCGAGCAACTCCAAAACACGGACATCTACGACGACGGCCGTTTACCATTGCCAATAGTGTGTGTGTGAGATTCGATCGATGTCCAAAATCCTCAATTTTGTACACACAAACACATTCCACTCCTATCTTGTATTGTTTTGTGTTAAGATACTTGATTTTTTCTAAAATATATTAGCACATCCAAATATCTTGATGCGCTAGCTTCACGTAAAATTGAGTTATATTCTTTTGGTAATATTGTCGGTATTTTGTTTCGCTTTACCACGAACCAACTTCACGTTCTTGTTTGCCATCATGAAGTGATCATCGTCAACAAATATTAAATAGTAAAAGAAAAAAAATTCTTGTCGCTTTTTATTTGTCTGTGTGTGTGTGTGTTTTATTCAATCTATCTTCATTATTCAGGTTTTGTTCTCTGATTCTATTTGGGATGGTGAATGAAATAATACCACCGTATTAAAAAAAAATTGAACCTTTTATAGATCAATCTTTTGTTTGTCTATGTGGTGTGCAAATTTAAGTGAATAGAAATGAAAATTTTTTTTTTCAATAAAATTTAAATTTAATTCAACAATTTTTTAGCTATTATTTTTGTTTGTGTGTTGTTATAATCACGCCCATCAACAATTGCAGTAAAAGATCCAAACGAGTGATTTATTCTGTCAATTTTACTTTGTTGATTGTCATCCACGACGACAACAACGACGTTGTCGATACATCGATTTCTTTTAATAAGCTATAAAGTTTAATTGTGTGTCTACTATAAGAAAACATCAAGTGTTTTGCCGCATTATTATTACAATTTTTTTTTCATTATAAAATTATTCTGTTTTAATCTTGATCCTGAATATTTTTGTCATAAAACAATCAGACGTTTAGTTTTCTTTTTTTTTTGAAAACAAAACTCGAATTTCGACATTAATTGAATATCATGAACATTGAACATAGCAGCGGCAGCAACATTTATTACGGCAACATCAATTCCAATGATCCTGTATTAAAGATTCTTTTTCTGGACACATTTTCTCCGCCAAACATTGCTAATGATTCTGAAGATACAAGTGACAAAAAGGAACCAAACGTTGGTATCGTACGATTCTCTTCTAATGTAGTCATTCGTGAGATAAGAATAATTCCATTATCAACATTAGTTTCTGGCGAAAGTCTTCGAAATGTTCATCTTGGGTATGGTGTTTATGCTTTGTTTAGCTTGATTAAAACAAAATATTTGCATTTTTTTTTTTTTTTATTTAGAGCAACTGCACCCTCTTCATTTGACATACATTTTTATGTGCACGAGATAAAAGCAAAAGAATCTTCCACCTTTTTGGACATTGGATGGTACGTTATTGTTTTTGATTGGTTCTCTTGTTTTATTTTTTTTTATTTACCTTTTTTGTTAGTTTCTCCTACAAAGAACATGAAAGCCACATATTCAAACCGGCTGTTTCTTTTGTTACGGATGGCCTATTGTTGCGTGGTCATTTTCAATCAGTTACATTAGCCGTTCTAGGTGAAGTAACTAACTTATCATCTTTATCAAATAAAGAATCAACTGCATCCAAAAAATCAAATGATGTAAATATTGATAATAATGACGATTCTAGAGCTAACCATTTCGATGGTCTTATCGTCGAAATTAAAGAACCGGATGATACTCAAGATCATTTGGAAACAGAATTAGACAAACACATTTGTGACCCTTTGCCATCGATTAATGATGACAACATTTCGGCGACCACATCAGCTAAATCTCAACATCTTGTTCAGGATGTTCATTCCTTATCACCTAGTCCGGAAAATGTAACACGTATACTATCGCCATCACCATCGCGTCACCATTATGGTGGCCTATCCACAAGTCCACCAGCGTCGACTTTGAAAAGTCATTCCAATTCATCACGAGAGAATCAATCGAGAATAACAACCGGGAAAAAATCCGCAAGCCACAAAGACTATGTCGAGGATGATGAAGATGATGATGATGTGCACAATGATCGAAAGAAATATCGTCCACTTTCATCAAGATCATCCACAAGTTCTATCTCACCGAGCAGTAATAATTATCCACTCAAAAGTCGTATCACCTATTCATCATCATCAATTGCTGATAAAAATTCATATACAAAAAGCGGATCATTATCTGACCGACGACATCGATCTAGTGTTGAAAGAGAATCGAATTCCACGCCATCGTCTAGTCATCATCATCACTATCGCAGTGAACGTTATAATAATTCTCCATCCGCATATGAAAAATATTATTCCTCCCAACGAGATTATCATCATGAACACCATTCGAGAAGATCGAGAGAACATTCATCTTCAGCAACAACCACCCTAACCAGTCGATCATCAAAATATCGTTCTAGTACAAATAAATATACACATGATCCTTATCGCACACGTAGCACAAGTAAAGATGTTGACAGTGATTATGAACATCGACAACATCGTTCATCCCTTTATGGAACAAATATTGATCGTTCAAGATTGAGCCTTAACCGGCATCATGAAATGGACAATAATTATGATGATGATGATGATGATGACAATGATTATAGGCGACGCCGACAACAACATCGCAATCGAAGTATCAGTCTTGAAAAACAGAATCGTGATAATAGTTCACACAGCCGAAGTAACATACATCGTGGTGGTAGTCGTGGCAATAGCCGTGATAATGACAATTATTCCAAAACAATTAATTCGTGTTCAACCAGGACACGTAATAATACTTCTGGTAGCTATATAGATAGCTACAGTGATAATAATAATCGTGATTTAATTTCGCCTAAATCATCTTTCACATCAAATAAATATCGCAGCTATTCTCATCATTCATCTGGTCATATGCGATCTCGATCAAGAGAGCGTTCACGATCATTATCACCGATGACAGTGTCAAGTGGTGGTGGTAATTATCGCAATAAACGTGATCATTCACATCTAGGCACATCTTCGCAGCATGATCGGGATTCAAATTCTCGTGATCATGATGATTCAATAGATTCGCCAAATCGTAAAAAATCTCGATACAATACACTGATGAATATGAATATTGCTTCACCTAGTTGTGATAGTGGTTCATCACCAATTTCCGTTGCAAGTCAACATACTGAAAGCATGCACTATACTAATGATTGTGGTAAAGGTCCGGACGATAATCAACGTACTTCTTCTAAAGCAGAGATCGAAAGTATTGCTTCACCCGTATCACCAATCGATGATGATTCAACTATGAATATGATTGAATTAAACGATTCACAATCATCACCAAACGCACAACCACAATCAATTACATCGCCATCACCTCTGGGGAACATATCGCCACATTCATCAATATCGAATATATCTTTGGATCAATTTGATTGTGATTCTAAAACAACAAATGCAGAAATATCTAATGATAATATCGACAATGATGTTATCAATGATATGGAAAATGACACAGAAAATGTCGATAAAAATAGTAGTGACATATGTAAAAATGAAAATAATGGTGATGGCGAATCGATTGTATCCAAAGATGATGCTCCTAAGGAATTGTTCGAGCCACTTTCCGGATCCGATATGGATGATGATTTTGACGATAATTTTGAACAGATTAGTACATCTTCCGATGTTGATGCGGACATTTTGGATGATAATCAAAACCGTGATAAAACCTGCAATGAAAAAGCTGAACTTGAAATAATTAGTAGTGATGAAGAATATGCCGATGATTTGAATGCGGCATTAGCCTCGGATAAAGTGGAATATGCTAAAAACTATTTGGATACCACTTGCGCTGGTGGTAAATACGATGACGATGAAATGGATAGTGCGTTGGATTTGAACAAAAATCTTTTCGACCCGTTGGTTTCCAATCAATTGTGTACATTGAAATTTCCTTTCAATAGTAATAAAACGACAACATTCATTGATCTTAAATTGTTCAGCTCGATCATTGAGTTCATACACGAAAATTTTTCCAATCTATATTCCGTACATGAAGAACAAAATCGTCGAATTTTTATTCAAGAAGATTGGGTGAAAAATGTAGAAAAATTGGCTATTGACATAATGAAACTAACCTGTCCAATATATTATTCATTCAACGAGGATTGGGAAAACGTTTCCGGTACCTCTGAACAAGATTTTGAAAATTTGATTCCTATGCTAATTTCAATTACCAAAGATGGACTTGATTTTAATCTTGCACTTGCACAGAAACAAACTCCTTATAAAGTTCGCCATTTAAAAGCTGGAATCAAATTGCTAATTGCATTGTTTAGCTCATTTGACATACGTTCATCATCAACAATCAATGAAAATGAAAATGCAATTCTATTCAAACGATTGTTAGAAGAAAATTTACCATACGATTTACTTTCCCTATATGACAAACCATTCTTTACACTACCGCTCAGGTTATTAATTCTGAATGGATTGATTGTTATCTGTGATCATGCTGAAGGTGTTGACTATTTGTGTCATCGAAAATTTCAATGGACCAATAATCTTGATCAAACTATCATGAATGAACACAACGACAAGAAAATGCCACCATTTGACGTGGTAAATATGAAAGATGCTACATGTTATCAATATATTTTATCATTGATTATAAAACCACAACATTCACGTCTAACATCGGTGTTTGAAGAATTACTGAACAAAATTCATTTATATGAATTGTTTGAAATGTTTGCCACCGATGTTAATAATGATGATGATCAATTATTATGCAATTTGACAACCGACAAATTGGATTCGTTCCATGCAATGTTATCTCAAATGATCACCTATTTTGAAATTATTTCTAATCGCATACATCGGCCATTACGTTTGCTGCCTAATGTTTGCCAATATGAGATTAAAACTGCTGTTAATGCTTCGGTTCCGTTACTCTTACTTTCTACATCGAATTCTCGTGTACCGGATGTGCCCAATACTGATCAATTTGATTATATACATGATCGTTTCCATTGTAAACAAACATATTGTTCATCATCGAAAATTGGATTTTATGCCCAAAAATCTTTCTATCGTTTTTTCAAACATTTTAACCTATTCGATGCTTTGATTCGTTTTTTGAAGTTCCTTAAAACATCCGATCATACGAGTAATGCACATCAAGATTTTATTTGTGGGAAAATATTAAAATTGTTAGACATTATCACCTCACATCAGCAAGGATTGAAATTTCTGTTGGAAGATCAATTAAATGTTGATAAAGTAAATTCGATTCATTCAATATTGACTGATTTTTCATCAAAACATGATCAATGTGGACAAAAATTTGTCGATTTTGGCATCAAATTCGTCACAAGGTATTTTATTTGTCATATATTCATTTTTAAATGTATCAATTTTTAACTTTTTATTTTTCAGATTGTATACATTCAATTTGATAGACAAAATACTCTACAATATATATTCGTTTCAAAGGGAAAACTTGAAGAAAACGACCACACAAAATATACTAGTTGATCCTTCTAAAAATACTGAAGTCATTAATTCGTTATTGCGATTGTTCATGATGGTACATTTTGAAAAAGCTATGTTTCGTGATGTGGTCGTTTCTATTCTTACATTGGAGCACAATTTTGATGCTGTTCATTCATTCATAATACCAATTACTTCACAATTTGATCCAACCAATGCTCATTTTTTCAATGAAAAGATTTCGAATATGGATCCAACATCATTCATCTATGCAACCAGAATTGCGATCGCCTGTGTTCAATATCTACCAGAAAAGAATCTATTACATTTTTATGAAATCTACGGTAAATCATTATTAAAGAACAGTGAAAATGTACAGACATTCGTACAGAATTCGTTGATCAAATTACATCGATCAGATATATTCCAAAGTCATGCTTTGAAATATTCGATGCTTACTAATTGGATATTGCCATTGAAAAATGATAATTTCAATTCACACGATGAATTGACATTACGAAAATTTGTGACCATTCTGAAAAAACATCATGATGCTTTTCAGGAAAAAATTCAAACAATTGAAAATTTCCATGATCGAGTTTTTTTTATCGAACCAGAACTTGTTACTGCCATCAAAATATTGGTTGCATTATGCGATCCAAAAGCCAACTATATGAAGAATAATGATCCTGATATTCAATTAAAATATAAATATGCTTTGGTCTCGTGTTATAGTTTTGATTGTACTACTTATTTGTTGACACTATTAGAAGCAGTTGTCGAAACATGTGAGAGACCGTCACACCGTACATTTGCTCATACGTTCAGTGATTCGTATATAAATTTGTACGTAAAGAATTATTTGAAAATAGTTACTAACAATAGTAGTAATCAACAATCACATCATCAACAGTACAAGGCACATTCATTGCAACAACTCAACAATTCAATTCTAAATCAAGGATCACTAGCTCTTGAATTTATTCGACCAAGCGTACGATTTCTACAGTTGATTCTAAACAATTTAACTCAATCGCTTGGCCATCGTTTCAATGATTCAACACCGATTCCAGTATTGCTCAAACTTTACAATATGTTGTCATATTTTCCATCTAATACAGATGATAAGGAATTAGAATTCAACACGAAAAAATCTGCTCAATTGATTCAACAGCAAATAATCGACATGATTCTATCTTTCTATACAGCTGTTTATGTGGAACATTCTGAATCATTACGTAAATCTGTATGGACAAAAATGTTGAAACATGTTTTCGAATTCATTTCATTTGCGCCGAAATATTTTGTATCAGGCTTAGAAATATTATCAAAAATATTGCCCACACCATTACCGTTGATGATGAATAAATCACTAAACGACAGAGATACATCAATTATAATCAATTATCGTAAATTGTGGTCCGCACATCTTCATTATTTTAGTGATGATATTGAAAATATGTTCACTTATCTGCTGTTATCAAATTGTTCGTCCTTGCAAAAATTATTACGTATTGTTTGCTATAAAATGTGCGATCTGTTTACCACAACCGTTCTCACTGTTACAAAATCTATCACTGAATTTCTCGTTCATACTTTGTGTGATATTGTTGATTCAAAATTCCGATCATCGATCGATGATTCAATGATCAAATATCATAGCGATAATTGTGGGAAAATTATCAATTTTATTCTGGATTTATTCAGTTCGAGCTTATCATTTAGAATCGGCATCCTGAATGCCTTTTATTGGTTTGCCACCAGTTTTGATGTGGTTCATAAAAATTCCAAAATACATAAGCTTTTCCACAGAATGTTTTTCTATCTCAATAGAAAAAAATTTGACAGAAATTTTAACATTACTAGTCGAACCTTCGTAACGGTAAGTGTTTTTATATTATTCTCAAGAATATAAATCTCATTTTCAGTTTTATCATAGGAAATCTTGTGCGATACAGAAACCCCAGATGATGACGATTTCCTCTCCTTATTCAATCATTTTTTTGATGCTGACGACAATGCTGTTTTGGCATTGAAAACGTTTAAATTTTCAGACAAACTTACATCAAAATTTTTCGTATCGTGTTCTCAATCATTGAACAAATATTTCAACGACCGTAAAGTTTATATCATTTGCAACGGTCAGCCAAATAACATAAAAGATAAAACTGAGAAAGAATCGAAAATCAAAGAGGAAGATGAAATTATGGATGTATGTAAATCGGTTCTTAAGGATAATGACATTATATATGGTCATCAATTTAGTCAACTATCAATCGATTGCCGAATGCCTGAGCAATGGCCATCATTAATCGAAAGTCAAACGAATCATCGGTCAATGGTAGAATTTGGAATGAAAAAAATTAATTGCTTTGATTTAACTAAAAAATATCTGAAACTCGACTGCGAAGGATTCCTCAAAAATCTCAATAATTATTATTCACCAATTGTTGAATTACCTGAAACACCCGACAAATCCACCGAAGATTCTGTTACAAAATTGAGCAACATGAATCCGCAACCAAAACGTAGTACACTGAGAGGTCGAGGAAGGCCATACGGACACCGTGGTGATCCATTCCGATCTCGACCACCAAACACATCAAGACCACCATCAATGCATGTTGATGATTTTGTAGCCATGGAACAACGATCAGATACATTAGTAGTTAGCAATAAAAATCGTTCAAACCATTCAATTTCACATCATAATTCCAATGTAATATCAACACATTCAGGAAATAGCAGTACAATATCATTATATGGTGGTAAACATTCGGATTATATACGTAAGAAAAATTTCAACTCCCATTCATCATCTCCCTATCATTCGAGCTATTCAAATTCGATTAAAATGAATAATAACAACAACAACAATAATAATAATCTGAATAATAACTCTTCCTTACATTTTGGTAAATAATTCTACACATGTTCTTTTGTATGGATAAATTTTTCACGAAAAAAATTTGCCTGTCTCTATCTCAAGAATTGTATCTATATTTTTAACTTTTCCTCTATGTTAAATAGTGATGTATCACTGAAAATACAAACACACCTATATCTTTGTCTCCGAATGTTAATTTTTTTCTATTTATTTTCTCAGATTTTTTTCAACCATTATGATAATTTTTTGATTATTACATAATTTCAACTCATTCTTACATATATGAACGTTTATCATGCATTTTTCTCTTTTTCATCCATTATTTTATCGATTTTTCAACTTTGAAAAAAAATTTTAATAAAAAATTATTTCATTAATGAATCTTTTGTTGTATTTATAAAAGTTTATTTTGGAAAATTTAGAATCGTCCATAGGAATCTAAGGAAAATCAATGCAAATTAAATCAAACAGTTGAAGTATAACTGTAATTTGCTTTCCCTTATAAAGTTCATAATCAGATAAGATTACGAACCAGATATGCCTGCGGGTTTTTTTTTAAATATATGTGTTCACTTGTTTGTCATTTACAATGTTTCTACAATAATACGATTTTTCAAAATTGAAATTGTTATTTCATATTTTTAACGTTAAAAATAAGATCCGTTGAAAAACGAAAATTATATTTCGCTTCCATTTGAATGATTCGTTGGCTTTATATTTGTTTGATTCGAATAAGGTTAAAATAATTTGGTTTCTTATAGCCTCTTTTCTCAATGTTTGTTTGTTATTTCATTTTGAAATTTATACTGTCCAATTTTCTCACAGTGTTGGGTTTTTATTTTCGTTTCGTTTGATGTCCGAGTTGCCGATATCGATGTGTGATTGATGATAATCGGGCGGCATTTTTTTTTCTAGTGGTTCGATTTTGTTTTTAGCCGTTCATCATTGATCTCGATTAATATTTTTCAATTCGTTTCTGTTTATTTGGTTTTTTTTTGTTTCGGATATCTTTTATTTTTTTTTCGTCCGATCGAAATACGATTGATCTTGGCAAAATTCTTTCTCACATTTCTTTTTTGAATGTATAGACAGATAGATAGACAACGATATTGCGGCCAACAAATTGAAATTTATTGATTATTATTAGTTTCTCTTGGTTTTTCTATGCTTATTTTATATTTGGAATCGCTTGTTAATACGGGATATATATTGCAAAATGTTCACTGAGATCCATTGGTATCTGATTCTGACAGTCGATATGTGAAACTGATGGGTGTGAAACAATCTTTCGGGAAAACATTTGAAATTTTTTTTTTTTGCTATTGTCTTTCGTTTCGCTTGTCAATATATACAAATCGAACAAAATGGTCTTACGTATATGGTGATGGTAGTGATCTCACCAACTCAGTCGTTTTTTCATTGATGGAAAATGAAAAATGAAAACAAATATCCATGGATGACTGAATGGCAAACGAATAATAATAACAGAATAAAATCTATCTGGTCATGGAATTTTTGTTCAATTTCGGCTTTTTTTTCATTCTGGTGTTTTTGATTTAGAATTGAATTTAAATCGTTCAAATTCCACAAACACACTGGCTGGCTGGACAATCGACCGATCAATCTAGATTTTCCATGTTTGTTTTTTCATGGTATGGCGGGACGGATAAAAAAAACAGAACAAAACAAGAATCAAAATGATATTGGTTAGCCAGTAAGCAGGCGATTTTCCATTACATTATTAATGACATTTCCATTCTTTTATTTTATTCCATTTTCCTATTTTAATATCTTCTTCAATGTTTATTTTTTTGTATGCAAATTTCAATCCCTATCTCGTTGTTTTTGTATTCGGGGTTTTTTCTTGGTTCGATCGCTTTGCCAATTTATTGTTATTAAAACTGCCATAATCTAATATTGAGTCGAGAAAAAAGATAATATGGCCATTCAATGCAATACAATCCAGTGGATTGTAAATCTAAATTGAATAAAAATGACCATTTTTTTTGTTGCACAAATCGTTGTTTTACATATGAATTCGGTATAAATAAAATAAATTGATGAAAATAAAAACAACCAAACGGGATGAATTCATCGAATAGACTTTTGAATGAAAAAACAAATTCAATTTCTCGATTCACTTTCCAGTTGTATGTTTGGATTTATAATTCAAAATAAATGATATAAACGACGACAATTTAAGGAAAAAAATATTGATCAATCAAATAGATAAATATGGGCAATTTCCGACCATCCGAACCTGTTGCTATTACATATTTATCTGATTCAATTTAATGAAAACTTTTAAATCAATGGGTGAACATTTTTAATAAGAATTTCGAAAATAACGCAGAATTAATCGGCAAAAAATCGTCAATGTAAACAACACATTATATCCAGCTATATTTGAATGTAAAATTCAATTTTTAATTTATTTAAAACTTTATCATTAAACTTATACTTTCTTGGTTAAATCTGAAGCAGTTGAAAAAAAATTCCAACATAACAATCGATATTTTCTTTTTCTCTTTTTTTTCAGATTTTGTACACATTATTGATGCAAATTAAATTTCCCATTATTCTAATGCAAATATTATAGTGATTGTCATTATCGAATGTCAAGAATCACTAGAAAAAATAAAAATCAGATTCTTGGATTCAAAATTGTCATTTTAACGATGATGATAATGGCAATGATATCCAATGTTTATTCATTTTGTGTTGGCTGTGTAAAAGCAAAGTTTCAAATTTAATAAAGTTTTAAATTCATCGGAAACAAATTTTTTCACTTTTTTTGGATTGTCAATTAGAAATATTTAAAGTATCGCCTCTTTTGATTAAATCCAGTTTCATTATTTTCTTCTTTTGCTTTTCGGTTCAAGATAGCCATTTTGGTTAAATTTCTAAAATATTTAACAAATCTATTATAGATTCACTTCCATAATGAGCAATCATCAAATGATAAAGATGAGGAAGAAAAAAGTTTCTTTTTTTCCCATATTGTTTGTTGCGATAGTTTACCACTGAAAAAAAATTCGAGAATTTTGAACTGTAGAAAAAAATAAATAAATCTCATCAACAAAACTAACCGATAAAAACAACAATAGCAACAACAATAACATTGACATCGACATGGAAATTGACAAAGACGATTCTGACGATCACTTCAACTGTATGCTCAAATCATTGAATTTATGTAAATTTACATTTCGAACTATCGTATGCATGAGATTCATTCTTTCAAAAATTTTCTTTTACATTTTCTTCGATTTCGATCAATATTTTATTTTTTTCCATTTTAACCAAAAGTTCGAAATGATAATGATGATGGAATGAAAATTTCAAGCAAAAAAAAAGCAAAACTAATTTACATAAATTGTGTCGCTTGCGTAAATTTTTCGTCAGACGTTGTCGAAAGGTCGAAATATATGGTATGTACCGTTTTTTTTTCTTTTGCCCTCACATTCATCTATTCATACGATAGAAATATTATTATTCATTAAATTATGTTTACGCTTTTGCACTGACGGCATCCGCTTCATATTTTCTTTTCTTTTTTTCATATTATTATTTTGAAACTCTATTATTATAAAATAGACTTGTAAATGAAATAACGAAGAAGAACTAGGTTTTCTAAAATTGCATCTTCCGTTACGAAAATTAAATCCATAATAACAGACGAACCGAACAGCAGCATTAATCTACATAAGTGCTGTATGCTGTGTGTATATATTCATACCCGTTTGTGTATGAAGGTTATTTTTCATTGTGATCCATAGATCCATACAGATCTCAAAATGAATGAATGAATGAATCAAGACCCCATGAAACTAATTTACATTTGATTTTAGCATTTTTTTTTTGCTTTAACTTGAATCCATCTCGATAATAGACAACTGGGTATATTTTGACTTCAATTTTATTTTATTGTTATTATCATTATTATTCCCTATACCGATGTAATATTATGTCATAATATATGTATAGAGAGTCTATTAAATCGTCACTATTTTTATTGAAAGTGTAAGTAATAACTAATTTGCATTCATCATTTTCATCATAATCATTGGAATCGAATCAAATCGAATCGAATTTGAAATGACATTTACAACATTGACATATTGAATAAAATTAATTCAATATCTTCAATTGGAACAAATGAATCCAATTTCAATGTATGTATGTTATACATTTTGATTATTTATTCTTTTCATATACGTTTTTTTTCTCGGTGACAATTCGATGAATTATTGATATTTCTACAATGATGATGAGGATAATGATGATGACAGCAGGCTGTTTCACTGCGGTAGTCCATCCGTTATACCGTTTTATTTGATCGGTGGCAATAGAATATAAAAAAGTGTCGAATTTCTGTCACAATAATATAGAGCAAAAGAGAGAAAGCAAAAACAAGTGAGTAAAAAACCCAACAAACACGACCATATTGCAATGACAATGACAAGCCGAGAACCAGAATAACAAGTTGATTTGATTTGATTTACCATTCGGTCATATATTTTTTTTCGATTTATTCCGATTCATTCGTTTTTAGTTTGAATAAAACATAAAAAACAAACGGAAACACGGCAACGAATCATCATCATCAAACTGGTGTTTGACATCAAATTGATCCAAATACGATTCCGTAATACAGTACTGTTTATAGATAGTATTTTTATATCTGATTCGTTGATCGTCTAGAATCTCGGGAGCATCGACTTTTTGTTTCGTTGTTTTATTTCCGATCATTCATATTATAATTTTATATGTAGAATATGTATGCTGTCTGTGCATTCAATTGCATATATTTTTGGTGACTTGACATGACCAGGAACACACACAGACATGTGAGCAAGTGAACGTATAGGAAATTCAAATTAGACAATTGTCTGTTCGTATTGCTATTGGGGGATATATCCAAAACGATGTTTCCATCGTTGACAGATGCGTCACAGAAATGTATTTATGTGTGTATGTTTGTTTAAGTTTTGGGTACAATCATTTGTCCATGTTCCAAATGATTTATTTACTCATACACCATATTGCCTGCCAATATTGAAAACTTAGGAAACATCAATTTTTGATTAATCGAACAGTTCATATTACAATTATAATGAACAAAAATAAGATAATAGTGATTGACTTGTAAATTTTTTTTCCCCATTTCATTGTTATCCAAAAAATTTTTTTTTCAAAAACTCAAAGAAAGAATAGAAAGACATTTTTTTCATAAAATTTCATATTTTGATATTTTTATCATTAATAATGATGAGCATTGTTCACAAATGAAATTGAAATATTCATCC